TTTTCAATCCCCTTTTGTCTTCTCCTTCTGGGATTCCTATTATGCATAGATTGGCATGCTTTGTATTATCCCATAGGTCTCTTATGTTCTTTCATTTTTTTTTTTTTTCATTTGGGTATCTGTCTGCTGTTCTAATTGGGTGATTTTCATTATTCTATCTTCCAGATCATTTATTCGTTCTGCATTATTCATCATGCTATTCATTGCCTTTAGGTCAGCTGTTGTCTCTGCGAATGAATTTTCTAATTTTTCTTGGCTTCTCTTTATAGTTTCTAGTTTGTTTGTTTGTTTTTACAGTAATCTGCATTTCTGTCAATAGCCTTTCTTAATTCCTTCAGTATTTTCATTACCTCCTTTGTGAACTCGGTGTCTGTTAGACTGAAGAGGTTTGTTTCACTGTTTGTTCCTTCAGGGAAATTCTCTTGATCTTTCAATTGAGAGTGGTTCTTCTGCTTCTTCATTTTTTCCCCTTATATTTCTCCTACTCTGTGAGTTTAGGAGAAATAATTAACTACTGTGGTCTTGGAGGGTTATTTTTATGTGGGAGTATCCCTGTGTAGCCTGCGTGAGTTTAATATTTTTGGTGCGAGGGCTGTTTTTAGTATGGATGCTTGCTGCCCCTTTCCTCAGTGTATGCTGGCCATTATCCCCTTAATAGGAGGTGTGACTGGTATTTTGGTGACCAGAACCTGCACTGGATATTGAGTGGGGCCTCCTCTTTGCTCTGTGGTTGTCACTGCCCTGTCACTACCCTGTCAGGGGCAGGGTCTGCTCCCTAGTTGTTGGAGTAGAAGCCCCCAATCCATTTCTGAGCCATGTTTCTGAGCTTCAGTATGAGATAGGCAGGACTGGAGTGTACCCACTGGAAAGGAGCCCCTGGGTATTCCTCCGCTGGAGCTGTTGACCAGTGAGCGTGCGCTGTTGTGTCACCTTCTTATCTGTTGTGCAGGCTCACCAAGTACATTGTTGTTTGCACTGCCCTTGGCCCCACCTCAACCTTGGGAATGCCAGCACTCGGCCCTAGTGTCCCTCAGGCGTCGTTTTCACAAGGCCACCAGTGCAGATCCACTGAAGTCAGGTTTTAGGACCACAGCAGTTGCGCGCCTGGACCCAATGTGGAAGGCTATGGAGGCAGCCCAGACCCTGGCCAAGCCCCCATGTGCACGTGCCCGCACAGTCCAGCCCACAGCTGCTAAGGCCAGACCTGTCCCAGCGGGAGAAGCACCTGTTGTGCGTTTGGATGTCCCACAGGCGCTGAATTTACAAAGCTGGTGGCACAGGTGTAAAACTGTGGCTCACGCAGTTGCTGGGAGAGATTTCAGCCCTGCTTCCTAAGTCATGTGGCCCCTGGCACTCAACTGTGGATGCTGCTTTTAAAGTGTTCAACAGGGAAAAACAAGAAAGATGATGCAAAACGAAATGCCATTTTTTGGCAGTGGCATTGGATTCCAGGAAAGCGAGTAACCCGAAGAGAGGTAAGCCACGACAGTAAGGAGCAATATACTGACTGTAAGGAGGAAGAACATTGGAAAACAGATTTCCCTAGGCTGAATCATGAGAAGAAACACAGTAAGACGAGAGCCTCTCACATGGTAGAAAGAGAGGAACACTCTGACGAATGAAGAGGCCTGGGGCTCCCTTGGACTTGGTGCTTAATTCCCCACACCTGGAGCCCTGGGTAAAATTGACAGTGGGGAATGAGCTGCAAGTTTGCTGGGATGAAGGAGAAGACTGATCATTATTCTGGGAAAAAGCTGGAAGATGGCCCCAAATTCTTGTGATGTGGATATGGTTCCTGGCAAGTCCACTGTGTTGAGACCTTCTCTGACTACCCTGCTCTGGACCACTTTGCTGGTGGTGCCATGAGACAGACGGTTGCTATAGGTGTTATCAAAGCAGTGGACAAGAAGGCAGTTGGAGCTGGCAAGGTCACCAAATCTGCCCAGAAAGCTCAGAAGGTTAAATGAATATTATATCCGCCACCCCAGTCTTAATCAGTGGTCTAAGATGGTCTCAGAACAGTTGGTCTCAACCGGCCATTTAAGTTTCATAGTAAAAGACTGGTTAATAACAACAATTCATCGTAAAACCCTCAGAAAAAGGAGAATTTTTTGTGGACCATTTGTTTTGTGTATGGCAGTTTTAAGTTATTAGTTTTTAAAATCAGTATCTTTTAATTGGTTAAAGCCCTCCTTAAGGAAATTATCCCCTGATTTGGTTTAAGACATTGGAATTACATTCATCCTGGAAACCACAATAGGAAAAACTGAGAAAATGGATACTAATTTAACTTGAGATAAGGCCTTGCCAGTTGCCCTGCTATGGATCAGTGGCTCCCAGTAGCAGGCTTAAATTAAGTCCCTTTGAAACACTGAATGGTAGGCCATTCCAGGTGTCTGCCCAGGTGATAGAATCTATAGATGCTTTAAAAGACCTAGCAGTTGCCAATGATGTTGAAACTTTGGGCACTATACTAATCTCTGTTCATGAGTTTGCCTCCAACAGGTCTGCCTATCTAACTGAAGTAGATGGGAATTTCATTGTAGCTGGAGAAGGGTCAACCAAGTTGTTTAATTTTGTCTAAATAAATAGCACAGGAATTTAGTATATGTACTGAGAACTGGAACCAAAACACCCAAGTTCAATTACAAATTAGACAACAAAGTGCTAACGGGCTTCATCAGGTTCAGATAGTTGTAAATATATAAAAGGACAGACTAAATAGTCTAAGGAATGTTTGTCACCTCCGGAAGTAGCCAGAGCAGTCTTCGTCCTCTTCCCACAAGTTGGTGGAGTAGACACTGGCAGTCAGGAATTGTAATAGGAAAGAAACTTTGTATTCTATTACAAGTTAATCACTGAAAGTATGTTGCCTATAAGCTTAAATTATACATAGTGGCCCATCTCTGGGAACCCTGCCTCCCAGGTAATGAGCATTAAGCTAAAAAAACCTTTGTTTAGCTCACAGGAAACATCCTGACCAGGCCCACCTGTGAATGACTGCAGGCAGGAAGAAATTAACACATCCCCTATGGAGGTGGACCAGAACCAGGAAATGTTTGACTTAACTCCCTCCTCTTTTAGTATAAAAGAAGCCTGAGTTCTAACTCAGGCACGATGGTTCTTTGGGGCACAAGTTCACCATCTTCTTGGTCTGCCAGCTTTCCGAATAAAGTCGCTATTCCTTGCCCCAACAACTCATCTCTTGATTTATTGGCCTGTTGTGTGGTGAGCAGTATGAGCTTGGACTTGGTAACACTGAGCCCAGGAAGTGCAAAATTCCAGAAGGGAGATTTAGGTTAGGTGCTAGAAAGGAGAGTCTGCTAGAGACCATGGAATGAGCTATATTCCCAAATTTCTCTCTCCAGCCACTTGCAAGCAGAGGTTTGATGGCCACCTTTTAGGGTTTCTCTTAATGCTATGAGATTGTCCTAGGTAACCTCAAAGGCTCCTTCAAGGTTCTACTATTCCATCAGCCTTGTCCTTGGCCAAATGTATTAATTAGGACTTGTGACTTAATATAGCAGGCACCCAACTAACCAGAGCTTGAATGTATGGGCTCTCTTGGAAGAGCAAAGATGCAGCCGATCCTCAGTTGTAACGGAACCAGGAACATGAAACCTGCAGGACGCTCTACAATTCATGCCTCCACTTCGGCTTTGCTGACTTTCTTCTCTTTCTTAATCCAATTTCCATCAAATATCAGAAAACATAGCCCCTGACAGCTCCTGGCCTTTTTTTCCCCCCCATCTAATAGTTTCTGTCACTGGAGATGAACTGCCTCTTTGGTATCAAGGCAAAAAATAACACATCTTCACAGGCAAGGGTACAGACTGACCCATTTTAGGAGTCTGCACCCCCTATACCACCATCAGTTGAAGCCAGAAGAATGGGACTAGTTAGAAAATGGCAGGTCTCTTGGGAACACTATGGATAGATCAGAGAAGGAAGCATACTAAACAAAATAGTCCCCTACCTCAAAGCAAAATGACAGGAAGCTGGTGCTCGGGCATTAAGAACACCAGAGGTTTAAAGTCTTTCTAACTCCACCGTATACAAACTATGGACATAAAGTTTAGGACTCGGGAATCTTCCAAGTTGATAACCATAATCTTTCCGAGAATATCTGAAAGGGATATTCACTGCTAGTCTGTGTATTCGGCAACTGTAATGTGCTTAGTGCTGAGTTAGGTGCTATGCTGGGTACGGAGCTACAGACCATGGTTCCTATGTTCAAAGATCTAACAATTGAATGGGATTAGGACTGAGAAGCATTCTGAGAACCATTTTAAATATAATAGAGGATTATCCCTCACCAATGACTAGTCCTCGCATCAAGTTTAAGTTAAAACTGTCTTCTCAAGGAAACTCTCAATGGTTCAGAAATAGCTTAGGCTACAGAAATCTGTATTGTTTATTCAGTTGTCCACTCATAAACACTTCATATGAACTCACCTTTGCTTTAGACACACTACGAAGTGGTAGAGTTACAGTTCCCTACCCTCAACTTTCTCAGCTGCTGTTCTCTCTGCCTGGAATATTCTTCACCTAACTCCCATCTCCCATTGCCACCATCACCTTGTATTTAACTCCTGTTCATTTTTATAGATATTAGCCTTCCTCAACTCTCTTGACTGGGTTAAAACACTGCTGTATATTCCCATAGCTTTTATCCCCTTTGGAAAGTTATCTTACTTGTAATTTTTTACCCAATGTGTGTCTTCCTTAGTAGAATGAAAGTCCCTTGGGGATAGGGCCATGCTTTTTCTGTTCACTACAATGCCTAAAATAGTGTCTCAAAGTAGCAAGGACTAAATATTCATTAATTTGGCAGATATTTATGGAACATCTATGTGTCCAGCATTGTTCTTATCGCTGAGGATACAAAAGAGGGGGGGAAAAACCCATATATGGTCCCTTCCTTGAAGGAGCTTATAAGTTAGTCAAAGTGTTGATTTAATGATGGAAGAATGTTTAACTCAAAACTCCTTATTTCCCAGGTGAAGAAATGATTGCCAGAGAGACTAAGTGACTTAAGTCATATGAAGAATTTGAGTGCCGTAGGTTGTTTTTGTTTTTTATTCCCTCTTACACACTGCTTCTCAAGACACATTTCACAAACCAAAGGTGGATGTGTGAACTTCTGTTCATTCAGCCCATGGATGCTAGAGGATACTGAGGCACCATGAGCTGTGTGAGTGGAGACAAACATGCAGAGAATGTGATTTTTATGCCAAGAATGTTAAAGGTTAAGTCAGTACAGGCAGCTTTGGTGATTTCTTGGCCAATTCTCCCACAGCCCCCATGACAGTGACCATCATGTCCTTCATCTTTGCTTGTGGACCCTCGGTGTCTGGAGTTCCTGGGAAAGTGAAGGTGTTGGCGTCGATGCAGCCACGTGGTTAGGGTTTTTAGTCAGGAACTGCTACAGGAGAGCTCAGTCCTGAGCCAGGAATTGCAGGAAGGGACTAACATGGATCACTTCTGAGAAAGTAGAAGGGCTTTTCAGGAGAGGGCATATAAAAAAGGCAAGGAGATTTTTAGGAGTGTATGAACAGCAAATAGCTTGCTAGAGCAGAGAGTATATATTAAATAGTGAAAATATGGGATAGATATGGGGGACTGGGCTGGAATCGAGTCCTTGGAAATGAAAGAAATGGCTGGTTCAAGGAATGGAGAGAGAACTAGGTTTGGATTTCAGTTGGATTTCTAATTAATCAAACTCGCTCTTAAATTTAGAGCCGGGGAGGACTTCCACTGGAACTCTGCTGGGATTCTTTCTCGCAGTTTGAGGAACCACCCTAGAAGGGTATGGAGAGACCCTCTCCTCCACTCATACTCACGCGACAGAAGCCAGTCTCTGGACAGGTTGTTATATATCAGTTGCTCCATGTCAGGTTACCACGTGTGTGTCCCCAACTGAAAATGCACCCCACCCCAGTCCCCCACAAAGTTGAACTGACACATCAGTGGAAACACATAGCATAGTGCCAACTGTCACGCTCGCCATCTCCAACCAGGGAATGGCAGAGCCTGTGCGTGATTCTCTTTGACTGCTGTCAGTGGAGGCCACACTGACTCAGAAATCTCACTCGTTTAAATCTGTGAGTTGCTGAGTCATTTCATCAGAAAGCACCTCAATTCTGCAATAATCTTTTTTAAAAGCAACCAATTTTAATGATGTGAGCCGAAATCCTTTGGCATTTTAAAGTGCTCTACTGAGGGCTATCTGCTAAGACTAGCGGTTTGCTTCTGTTATGGAGAGGCAGAAAAGATGATTTCATTGTCTTTAAATCATGTGCGGGCTCAGGGAATGAGCTGTAGCAGGCTTGGAAATGTGTGGGAAGAAGTCAGAAGGCCATGCATACAACGTCTGCAAAGAAAATGTTTTATTTAAAGTGTTAAATACCATCACGAGAATGAATTTGAGTTTTACATTAGTTGGTGTTCATTACAGGACTAATCTACCCTTTTTTTTTTTCCAGCTGGAATTCCCTTTACTTTTAAAACATACTATGTACAGGGCAGCAGTGGTCACTGGAATAGTGCTACTTACATGACTAAACCACAAGTCGAGGTGCAGACATGTGAAAATTAAAAAAAAAAAAAAATACACCAACATTAAAATAAATACTGCATAATGACAGGTATGTACAAATATTCCATACAGTCATGTCCTTCTTATTAAAATTAGGAATAATTTATATAGGAATATGCCCAAAAGATTATGTGACTGCATCTTAGTATCAGGAAAATGGTAAACGTTTATTCTAAGGGAGAGTATAGACACTATAGGTCTAGTAAGTCAATTGTTGCTGGTACACAAGTGTCTAAATTATTTCCGTAGAGTTTTATTCGTTCTTTTCAACTTTACCTGGGTCCATCCTAGGTCTCAGAATGTCAAGACACAGTCTAGGTGTATTTCGTATTGCACCACATAAAGAGAAGGCATTTTTAGTGATACTCATTTTTAACTTTTGCACCATATCAAGCATGATAGTTTTGAATGGTCAACACTGAACTTAAAAAGGAACACAAGAGAGCAATTTTTGTGCGTGGCCTTAAACAAATGGTATGTACGTGGATTTCAAAAGTTGTTGCAAGAAGTTAAAATCCATCTATAAGAATGTGTTATCAAAGTGCACAGAAAGAAACAAAGAAATATGGGTGGTTTATTACATTACTCGGTGACTTTTCTCCTAAGTCGGGGAACTTAAGAGAAATTTGACCTTGCAGCACCACCCAATGGTAATAACTGTCTGTAAAACCAAAGGCAGGGGTTTGATTTTGGGGATTCGTGTGTAGACTTTTGGTGATGGCATCAAAGAACTGTTAATAGGCAGACTGACTTTCTTTGAGTCACCTAAAAATTGGAGCTTTAAAATTATCTGTTGCAAATTTATGTTTGCTATATTTCTTTAGAAATATAATTTGTGAAAAATTGAATTTTACTACAGATAAATGAATTAATAAACAGTCTTGTGTTTCAGGGCTCCAAATTGTTAGCGTTTCTATTCACATAGTAAATGGAAATTGGCTAAAGGAATTGCTTCATGCTTTAATTAATTAGAAAACAAAACACAAAACCTAAGACCTTCTAAAAATAATACTTTAACCCCTGTATGAATAATGCTGGTGCTAAAAACAAATTTATTAGACATTACAATGGCCACATGATTTTAGGATTTTCCTGTAAACTGAACTTTGAAGATGAAAATAAAATTACCATGCATTGTACAATAAATTGCAAAAGTTCAAATATCTTCTTTATCAAATACATGCTGACTTGCTCTAATGTACTCCCAAGTCATGTTGCAAAATCCTTTTCAACATGCTTGAAATAAAGAAAGCTCTTAGTTTTTTCCCCGCCTTGAGAAATTCAGAGATTCAGAAGCCTCTACAGCTCTGAATCAAACATGGGGTATAAGAGAGTATCAGGTCAAAAACTTGTAATTTTTTAGCATAATGTTCACTCTGGTAGGGAGAAAGAAAATAAAAGCTTAAAAGAGAGAGAAGAAGAAAAGTGAGATAGAGGAAGAAAGATGTGAACAATTTGCACATATTGAACTTTAATATTTGTATATTTAACATGGAAATAAATTGAATATGTTATACTTATTCGTCACATGAAGAGAATTTTAAGTATTTTCTAGAAAGTATTTTCTTCTGTAATGTCTGCCAAAACACAGACTATGATTACTTTAAAGAATAAACATGGTGTGTCTTTGTATCACCCTGTTGCATTCTCTCCCTTTTTTAAAACCATGCACTAGTGAAATTTATTTTTAAAAATAATATAAATTGTTGAAAATGGCTGATTTTTATTTTTATTTTTGCAAGTTGCAGCCCCAAGAAAATAATTTAAGTATTCAGCTAATCTGTGTCCATGCAAAAAAAAGTTTAATTTCATTCAGTACGGTGGAGCCACAGAATTTTGTTTTTCAGAGTCCATATCATCTTGGCATTAGTGGGTGCCATGCCTGCTGGAGCTCTGAAGTCTGCCACTGTTCACGCTGTCACACTGGACTGGCTGCTCCCGTCCCCAGCCAGAGGAGGGCTGACGTTTTTGTCCTGGACCAAGTCTTTGGTCTCTTGCTTTTCACCTGATGCTTCCTAGGACTTCATGCCTTGACTTGTAACATGGCTTAATGGCTGGATAGCTCCATTTCTGTGGCATCACAGGACTTTGGGGTCAGAGAAATGAAGAAAAAGGAATGATAAAAATATAAAGGTGCCATTGAAAAGGGCTTTTGTTGCATGAAACTGATTCTTTGAGATTAATCCATGGCTTCATTGGACCAAAACGTGAGTGTTATTGAACTCCAAACCTGATAGTTCGTCATAGCTCCGCTCTTTCACCTGAGGGCCTTCTTTAGGGCACAATGTGTGCAACTTCCTCTGAGAACACAGGATCGCTTTGTATCCCTAGAAACAGGCTCAGAAGACACAACATTAAGCATGCAGTGTTACCAGGGTTTGCGACCTGTGGGGTTTTTTTCTTTTTTTGTAACGCTGGTTGCTATGACAACAGTTTTACAGCTGCTATGAACGAGAGTAAGAAGGTCCAGTTGAACTTTCCAGAGATGATTGGGAAGCTCTTCTTGTCAGAGGGGCCAAGGTTGGATCTACTAGGGAGGAAGTGGGGAAAAGTTTGAACCAGCCAATCACCATATTGGATAGCTCCAGTTCATCTAAAAGTATCTGGGCCACTCCCATAAAGGATTTGTGATCCATGCGGCCATAGTCTCCCCAGACTATGATCTGTTGACAAAATTAAAAGAGCAATGTCAGTATAATCATGTATGTAAAAGCTTGTCAACTAAAATACATTCAGTTAGTGTGCTGACATCAAACATCAAGTTATGTAGTTGTATTTAATTACTGGGATAGTTGTCTTTGCTAGAATCCGAAGGTACGTTAGGAAAACTTTACAGGAGTGTTAAGATCATAAGCAATCAAGGAAGATGGGAGCTTATGTGTGATGGGGGTTTACAAGTCTATAGTCACTTTAAAGGAAACAACAGTGTGTATAGCTTTTTTTTTTTCTTTCTCACATTCATTTCCATTATGGTTTATTACAGGATATTGAATATATCGATAGTTCCCTAGTGTGTATAGCTTTATAGCACTGGCCACTACTTTGAAGTTTCCCAAGCATTTCAGCTGTGAGGAATGGAAAAGGATGTGATAAGAAAAGATGTTGGATACAAAGTTTGACTCCATGAAGACACTTTCTTAGGTAAGGAATATATAATTCAGTAAATACCTGTAAAACCTTTCCTTGGGGACTTTCTTCAAAAGATAACAGTTGCTGGTAGAGGGGTTCCAGCGTCTTTCTTGCCACTTTTGTTTTCCTTTTGGCTATGCAGACTCCATTATCTAATAGATACACCTTTACATATGGTGCTTGGGAAAGAAAACACAGAGGAGAGTTAAGTGATGAGCTATGGTTACGGAACACCCAGCTTACAGGTGACATCTGCCACAGCTTAACCTTAGGCTGGAAGAGCCAGCGGTCAAAAATCACTGGCCTTTCCACATTACGTCAAAATCATTAGCTAAACAATCGATAACTATCAGCCATTCAGGTAGTTTTAGGCAATGTTAACATAGCATCTGAGTTGATTACTATTTTGCCATCAACTGGTTATATGGATTTGAACAACCGCGTTAAAAAAAGGAGAAATGCTTCCAGTCCCTAACAATTTCAAGAAAGATGTCTCGCTCAGTTTTTCATGTGTCAATACTTAAATCTAATTAAACGTGCTTGAAATTAGATTGTTTTACTCACCCATCCCCACAAATCATTGATCACTCAAAAGGGTTTATTTATTGATGGTGTGGGTACACAACAGGGGTGGGGTTTGATGTAATATGTTCAAATTAGCCAGGAAGAGGCAACTAATTATGAATACCATGGGTTCAAGTTTTTCTGACAGACTTCATAAAAACATTTTCGTGCATGTACAAACTGCAGGATTCTTTCTAGCAGAGTCAGTTGACTAAGCGCCAAGATGTTTATGAACACAACTGTCTTAATCACCACTGCAAGGTTGTACAATAGGTAACAACATACATTACAATTTGGAATTTCTGCAGGGACAGGGAAGCTAGAGATTCAAAATTACAGTTCAGTCAGTGGAGGTGCTGAGGTGAGAAACCAAGTTTCAGAATTGTTCTATACATCAGATCCAGTGTTTTCTACATCTCTGCATCAGATATCTGGAATCTGTGGCATTCCCCATGGCTCGAAGCACCTTAGATTATGACATTTCGGTATGAAATATGTGACATCACAATAAAAACTTATAATGGTGCCTCTCTATACATTACAGGAAGTAAGAATCTTAGAATGTCCTTCACATATGGGCTTATGCTACTTTGGGAACCTGTAACTATTTTTATTCTAATTCCAGGACTCTAAGGATTCTTAAGGAGAATTTAGAAGCTCCAGATAAACTGAAGAATAACACAAAACACTAGCTAACAAGAACCTCTTATGTACATGTCATACAAAATGAATGTGATAGGTTTTGTTTTGCAGTGGTTTCTACCATATATGTGCTTATCTTAACGACTTGTCTTATCCCCATCTGGCCACTCTCACTGGGTGCTCACTCAGGACAAACACACAAACTACCACTTAACTGTCTCATTTATTAGTATCCTTGATCATTTAAGAGCAAAGTTTCCAGTATCTAATCAAAAACAAAGTCTCTGCATTGAAAAGTGTGGATTACGAACAATAATAGAAGAATCTCTTCTGTTCTTACCTGGCAGTGTCTTGGAACCTGGTTTTACAACAAGGCCACGGGCCCGAATGATTTCCACCTCCAGCTGTCCCTTTTTGTCCATCATTCCTACCTGAATGTCACCTAATGGCGTGTGAGGAAGAAACAAACAATGAGAGAAATGTTTGTGCCAAAGACCTTGTTTTAACATTGTTTCATCATTTCCTACATCTTTTCCTAAATTCAAATATATTTAAAAATTTATCAATGATACTTTACTTTAAAAAGCATACAAATTAAAATGGAAAAATTTAGTCAAAGTTTTTTGTTTAAATCTAAGATACTCATTCCTGATAATACTGTTAAAGATCCTATGAAATTAAAGAATGTGATTTTCAATAATCTAAAAGAAAAACAATGAATCACATGACAAATTCTTACCCATGGCAGGTGTGGCCAGAGTCTGGCGCCCCACTAGCTGGGCAGGGCCAAGGCCATCCAGAAAATCACTGAATTGGCTATCAGAGGCCAAGCGGACACCAGGGAAAATCAGACTAAAAGTAAAATAACACACAGGATTAAACCCTCCACTCCTGTTTCCATCTAGCCCCCTTTCCGTGGCAGGAGCAGCTGGTACCACTATTTTGCCACTTACATTAATTGGATCCCAACCTCCCCACTGCACCTCCACGGCTCTCCCTCCTTATTCTCTAGCAGCCCTCGTCCTGTATTGCAAGCCTCTGTTTATGTGCCTTTCTTTTCCTTGTCTGGAGGGCATGAACTGTGATTTCTATGTATAGCACTCAGTACACTTTGAACACTTATTCCATGACAGGCATTAGCATACTGAATCTCTTAGCTGCACTATGAGAGAGGTTCTTATTTAACCCATTTTGTCGATGAAGAAAGTCTTCAGATCAGATCATTCCCATCAACACCCAAACACACTGCTATTTCTTCCACCTTAAAAAAATCCCTTTCCTAACCTCCTTCCCTCCCCAGCTACCACCCCGTTTCTCTCCTTGAAACTTTGTAGAGCTGTCTCTATGTACCATCTTCAATTTCTTTCCTCTCATTCTCCTTTGAAAATCGAATCAGTTTTTCCTTGCTCTCTTCCTCAATTTTTCTCCACTCCACCAAAATTTCTCTGATCAAGGTTACCTGACAGCCACAGTGGTAAATCCGACCGTTAATACTCCAGACTTGTCTAATTGAACATATTAGCCTCATTTGACCCAACTGATCCCTCCCTCTTCCTTGAAATACTTTCTCCACTTTGCTTTCTGGACGCTCTAGCCTCCTGGTTTTCCTCTTTGGCTATTCTTCCTCAGTCTCCTTTGCTAATTTTGCCACTAAATATAGGAGGCTCCATCTTTTGACTTCTTCTCTTCAAGCCATCATTTTCTCTTTCTGTATTGCTGCAACAGCCTTCTGAATGATCTCCCCATTGCCACCTTTCTCTCCACTCCCACAGCAATCAGAGTGATCTGTTAAAACTGAAGCCAGATAATGTCAGGCCTCTGCTCACAATCCTCCATTGGTTTCTCATCTCGATCTGGGTAAAAGCAAAGTCCTTGCAATGATGTATAAAGACAATACAACTTGTCCACCCCTGCCCCCCATATCTTAATTCCTAGTTTTTTTACTATTCCTGCCCTCATTCCCTGGTGCCCCCATTCCCACTACTGATGCCAGGTAAGCTCCAGCCTCAGCGTTGCTTCAGCCTGAAATGTTCTTCCTTCAGACATTCATGTGTTCACTAACTTCCTTCAGATTTTAAATCAAATGTGCCCTTTTCCCTGTCTAACCTACATAAAACCCTACCCTTAACCTCTGCCATCTCTTCTCTCACTTTTTTCTCCTTAGCACTTATACCACCTAATCTATTATATATTAAATATTATATATTTTCCTAATTTTTCTTTTATTTGAACAATTTTTCAAGTTTATTGTCCATCTTATCTGTTAGACTGTAAGTTTGAGGAGGGTAGGGTTTTTTTTCTTATTATTTGTTCACTGATATATATCCAGCACTAGAACCATGCCTGAAATACTGTAAGTACTTGTTAAACTCAATCAATTAATTAAAATGAATCTTAAAAAAATTACATAACTTGCCCAAGTTTCTATAGCACCAAAAAACAGATTAGAATTTAAGCCTATATGATTCTAAAGCCTATGGTCTAACCACCAACAGATTTTTGCTTCCTCGTATGACATATATCCCCAACTCATAGCAAAGTGCCTAGAACACTAGAAGGTATGGAAATATCTGTTGAATGAATTTATGAGTATTCATCCCATTTCTCCAATAAGACTATAAACACCTGGAGCACAGGGGTCATAGTTTGAACATTTTTATATCCCTAACAGTGTCTAACACAGTGCTTTGCAGTGATGAGTGCTCACTGCACATTTCTTTTTTCCTTGATTCTCCATCTCTTTTAAGACTTCCTTGATTAACGTCAAATCTATTTCGTCCCCCAAGCTTAATTAATTCCCAAATATACAGTTAATCCGAACATTTTTAATGCTTCCATAAATATCCCATATAACCTTACTTACAAATGTATGGAAACCATATATATCTCGTATTTATATAACTGTGCTAGACAAATGATGCCTAGGGCAAATCATCAACACTCTGCCAGCTGCTCCTATGGCCTCACGCCTGTGAACTGACTACACATACGTTGCCTAAGCACCTGATGCTTCCATGGTGATGACAGATGAGGTCAGTAAACCCCACTCTCCTCTATTAATGTCCTTTACGCACCCATCTACGATCTGCAGTTGCTAATTATTGTTAATTTGTTGGTGACAGGGCTGTACAATCTTGACAAATGCTTTAAAAATAGACACAGTGGAGTCAAGGGAAAGCTACATGATAACTACATAAAGGAAAGACTCACCAACTTTGCGGCATTTCATTTTGGCTGTTACATTTATCTGAACTGTTTGTTACTGGATGGAACTAAGTATGTATCGATATTCTATATTTTTTAGTAATAACTCTTAGAGCAAGGATTTAAAAAATTAGCATCGTACACGTGGCATGGGCACAAGTGCTTATTATTTCTGTGCTTTTATGTATTATTTCAAGGTAGGGCAAACTTCTATTTGTGACAGTCACATTTTAGCATCTTGCCCTTAAATTGAAACACTTTATCCTTAACCTATTTCCATTGATATAAAAAGCCAGATATGTCACATTTCTCAGTGGCGGGTAAGCAAAAGTTTTCTTCACAGCAAATCAGCCAGTGAAAGTTGAAATGGTGCTGTAGGGCATGTGAGTTAGCTTTGGTGAAAGCACAGAGAGTGAGGTAGAGAAGAAGGTCTCCAGCAAGGCATGGAGACCACGGCACAGCCAGCATCACTCACTTTCCTTCTGAGCTATAGCTGTTCATGCTGCCATCTGTGGATTCTCGGCTTGCCTGTCGAGTCATCCAGTTCCTCATTTCCACAGCCAAGCCTGTTTCTGTACTTCTCTGCACGGTGCTCCGTAGCTTTTTACCACTGGCTTCTGCATGGACAGAAAACAAAAGGGGTGATAGTTTTGTCGTCATCATCTGGTAACAAAAAATAGCAGCCAATGCTTTGAGGTCCTCAGATGAAGAAGCTGCATAAATACAAAATGCTTTTATGAAGGAGACAGAGAGAAAAGGTATTTCAAAGCACGTCTTGTTGAGGGATGAAAACTTTCTAAAAAATCTTCAAGAAGCACAAAATACCATTGTTTTATTTTCATTTAAAACAGTGTTCAAATTGGTAACAAAAGGAACAAAAAGGTTCAAGCTATGTAAAATAAGCTTTGTTTTCATTGTAATATTTAAATCAAGATTAATTTATGCCTTTTTCTTTTTTCTTTTTTTTGGTCATAGTCAAAGAAGTAGGCCTTCACATTATTTCCAAAGAATAGGTGGTGAGTAATCCTCAATTCTAGCTTTAACTTTCACACAAAAACCTGTTTTTGCAGGGTGATCAGTATTAGAAAGCAAAGAAAGCTACACTAAGGAGATAGCCTCTCCTGATAACACTTTCACATCTGTACGTCACTTTCAGAGAGGTTCTCATAAGGAATGCAAAACCCAGCAATGCCATGTGAAAAAAGAGCTTTTAAATTTTTGGTCATGGATAGTCATGTTCTTAAGGATCTTCAACAGTTTGAATAGGAGGTTTGCTTATGGAAGCCAATTAGAAGACCAAACAGGAAACTGAGTCAAGTACCACAGATGTAACAGAGGTACGAAGTGCCATCTGCAGAGGTCAGGGAGGAAGGAGCATCACAGAGGGAGTTGGGACTTGAGCTGGGCTTGAAAAATGGGCAGATTGGGATCCAAGAAACAGCCCCAGTTATCAAAGGCCTTGCATGTTGGAATGTGGAGCTGAGAGATGACTGAAGCTGGAGCAACAGGGGGATGGTTCAAATTACTGGTATTAATTTACTTCCTGTCAGGTCTAAATATTTATCCACATTGACTATTCATATCATTAGTATTTTGGGATATGGTAAGCTCTTTTAGTGCCTGGTATTAATAATTTCATTTTAGATCAATAAATATTTGGTGATGTTGACAGTGACTTGTGGAAATCCTTTCCATCAAACCTCTTGGAATATCTGCTCACCATTTTGAAACACTGCTTTAAATTTCATCTCTTCTCCACTTCCAACTTTAATGTACATCAAAATGCTTTAAAAAGTATACATAAAATATGTTATCACTGATCTACAACTCAGTTCCATAATCTGAGCCTATTTTAGATAATTGATAGTAAAACATGTTGTACTGATATGAACTACTGAGAGGAGCTAAAGCATCCCCCATTGATGACAGAAGGCTCTTCCTTCCAGAGAAATGGTTAATTAATACATGTAAAAAGTGAGAAAAATTTAAAATTACCAATTGGCAACCTCCAGTGGAATAAATGATTCAAATAAGGCACATCAATGGATGCTAATGCCATTAGATAAAAGGATATTCATATGAGCCAAAAATATCATCCCACAAATTAGTTCTAATTGTTAAAGGAAAACAGGTACTTTACTACTGGGAAACCTGGCTATTGCCGTCTTAATCAGGTGAGCAAACTTAGCACTAATAGTGGGGCAATCAATCACTGTAGCACCTATCAAGTTGTTCTAGACAAAAGTACACAACCTGTTTCTAATCAGGTCTCTGCAACCAACTTCTAAG